CATCTGGTTCTAAGAAAGGTGATTAAATTACCTTCAATATATTTGCTATATGTTCTGCCCCTCGCCATGTGAGGCTACATCCTGTGAAGTTTACATATCTGATATTAGCTGAATTCTTTAAACTCTGACAGATGGCTGAAGAAAACAAAAACATGCATGTTATCTACATGCACCACAGCTGGATTATCAGAACACACTTTTTCACTGCCATATTAAGAAGTTCAATCAGCTTTAACACTTGGGTTGAGATAAGAAATATATTTTAAATACATTTAAGTGTTCTAAGTTTATATATTTCTAGCACATGTTGTTAGCAAAGCCTATATGAACAAACTAGAACATATTTTATTTCTGTTTACTTATGTAAACATGAATAATAAAAAGCTAACATCAAACAAATATTATGACTTGTTTTAAATAAAACTATAAACATAATTATAAAGTACTGTGGCTATTTTCTATCACGTAGTGAAGAAAGTAAAATTTTTAAATGTTGTTAAATCATGTCGAATAATGTGAAGATTATTATTTTAATCACTATTTAACAATTTTAAACAGAACAGAAATACTGAAAAGCTTACCTATTTAAAGAACTAAAAAAGAGAGAAGTATATTTAAGGTTTTTGATTCTGAACTTACTTTCTAATCCTCCATCTCCAATTGGACAGTGGGCAAAAGAGACGTTCTCCAGAGATGATGCTGTGGCCAAGCCCTTCAGAATAAAAACAGTATTTGTTAACTGTCTTGAAAAGGCAAAACTACAGAGCAAAGACTGAGTCACCCAAACTGCTCAGAACACGTTATGCTCCCTACAAGAAACAATAGGGAGTTTAGAGAAAGGTTAAAATAAGTGAACCTTAAGTTTAAGCTGGGTCATCTCTTTAGCACTGGAGGCGCCATAGCCTACAGGAAACAGCAGCAACCTCTTTTCCTAGAAGCTACATGTGTTCCAGTAATACATACTGAAGACCTGCTTTTATCTCCTTGGTATCCCTCAACATTCCTTCTGTCATGTACATGCACTGTAGTTTAAGTCACAAGCATAAGCTACATGCCCCAAACACATGACAAAGATGTTGCTAAGAACACTCTAATCAGACTTGACAAATCAGGGCAAGGGAATGTTATGTGATTTATACAGGTTCAGCAAGAACAGTTTATACAAAATACCTCAGCAGAATAATTCATGTAAAGGATAATACAAAGATACCTTAGAAGAGAAATAACCTCATCTGTAACAAATATTTATAAAATGAGTTGCTACTTCTCTATGTTCTACGCATGTTTTCCATTTACTTGTATAGTAACAGTCTCACCTTTGTTAAAAGTATTAGATCTCTCTCCCTCAGAAGCAAACCCTGCAGTTCTAAATTTTTTAGTACATCTGATATACTGAGACAGCATTTGACAGCTTTGCATAGTTGGCCAGTCAAGTCTTTTGATCGAATTGCTGGAATTCTCCTTCTAAAGTAAGTTTTGTATCTTTCAACACCTAGTAAACAACAAAAATTACATATCAGTAAAATCCAGTCCCTACTGACTTGAAGGCAACCGTAATCACCCGCTGCTTTTTTGATGCTTTTCTTTAACAAAAATACTTCCTTAAGTATAATCATTTCTCTATCGTGTATCCAAGTAACAGAAAAGCTTTACGCAGCAAATTCTAAAATTCTACATCAACATATTTATCTTTTATAGATATCAGTACAAACCTGATTCTTCAAGACCATGTTGATGAGAAGCTCTTATTCCAATAGAAGTCAGAGTCTTATTATGCCTGATAGCATTCAGAACTGGTATCCAATCAGTAGCTTTGATGCGATCCACAGTTAGATCAAGAGCACGACGACTCAGGTTAGCCTTCACAGCTTTCAGTGGGACAGAGCCTTGAAGAGCACAAAGATGTTCATAATGCGAGTAGAAATCCAGCATGCACTGTCTTCTTACTTTGACTGACTCGATCATTTCTTCTATGTGATATATGTCTCTCTAAAATAAGAGAAAAAAAGCACTGACTTTATCCAATGGATAATTGATTTTGCAACAGTTTCAATACAGTATGGATAAACATGAACATGTTCAAGTCTATAGCATTTACATGCCTTTGGTGTGTCAGCTAAAGCACTGATGTCTTGTGATTCTCATTGCCTGTGACAGTACAACTGAGTGAATAAAGTGGTGAAAACCTGCATCTGCTTCCACTCTCTCTATTTTTCTCCTTATCAAAACTCAGGGTTTTTCTGCTCTTGATTTTTGCTTCTACTTGAAAATGGCATTCTGAATAACCATTCAGGATTTTTTCTTTAAATTCTAACTACCCTCATCTGCCTGTGTCCATAATACTCCTGCACACATTTCCTCTGTTAACAACCATCCTTTATTCACTACTCATTTCAAACTATCCAAGCAAACAAACCACAGCTATAAAGCATTTTTCCTGGGCTTCAGTGCTCCTTAGAACTGTTTGTAAACACTGGTACTTCTACACTCAGAAGCTGCAAGTTTCAAAAAGCAAAAGAAAATTTAACACAGAGGTCTTCTGTAAGTTTTCTCCTTTGTCTTAAGTCTAAACAGAATACACATCTCCCTAAAAATGCATATAGTGAATTACTCCCTGCTGCTGATGCACTCACACCCAGACACACAATCAAATCTACCTGGATAGAAGTAAGACTGAAGCTCTTCAAATTTTAAACTAAAAATATAAACAAAGTAATTCTTAGACTTCTGGGTTTGTGCACACAGAAGCATATTAACCAGCTGCCTTCAGTGCAGCACAGTCCTGCGCTAGTGAAAAACATACTCTGCTGCTCTAGGGGTTTGCTTTTAAAATTTCAGCCAGGAGAAGACAAGGCTCCAGACAAACCTTGTAACAGTCTTCCAGTACCTGAAGTGGGGCTACAGGGAATCTGGAGAGAGATTTACAACCTGGTCAAATGTGAGTCCTTCCTATAGCAGGGGGTTAGAACTAGGTAACCTTTAAGGTCCCTTCTAACCCAAACCATTCTGTGATTCTGTGAAAACAAAAACCAAACTGGCATTTTTATTCTCCCATACAAACAGGTATACCAAAACCACAAAAGACAATGTTCAGGCAGTAACTGCTTTGAAGTTCTTGCTTTCTTCTTTTAGTTTTGTATTGTCAGAGTCTGCAGACTCCTGAAGGCCTGTGACACACTCCCTGACCCGGTACCAAGGAATTCAAATGAGTCTTTCACAGAGAACTACTGAGTTTCTCTGCTACTTCAGTCAAAAGTCTAACATCATAAAACAGAATAAAACGTATGTTTTCCTAAATATTTTTGCTATTGCATACCCTATATACTTATTCCAGTAAATCTAGGAAAGCACTTTTCAGGCATAAGTTTTCCTTATACATCAACACCCATGTAGCAAAACAGTACTAACTCCAAGTAGAATTTCTAAATATCACACAGCTATTAAGTCATTCCACAGTCTCAACAGGAATTAATATTTGTCAGCATATTTAGAAGACCCATTTAGTTATCTATTTATTAATTTCTCAAGACAGCATTAAGTATCCTATATGGGACAGCAAGTATTTTTCACATAGCAAACATCTCATATTGTTGAGGACTAGAAAGCTTCAGACACTATCTTCTAAAACACTCTGTATGTCAACATCAGACAAGAATCAGCGGGTACATACAAGCACGTGAGGAAAGCCATTTGTAAGGATATAATTTAGAAAAGAAATAATCACATTATTAGTATTTGGATGACTGAACTTGTAATAGTAATAGAAACCCTTAACAATAGTTCCTCTATGGCCTTTTGTTTCTTTCATTTTAGCTCTGATTTACAGCACTACTTAATCACCACACTGTCAACAGGAACAAATGACTAAATTACAATGCAACCATCAATTGTAACGCACTACTGATTTGAGGTGATGTATCAATGCGCAACATATTAAGCCTTTTACCTCCTGAGCTTATGCAATATTCTTTTAACAGTGGCTTTCAAAGCAACACCTGAACACCACACCTGTAACTGAAGCAAGGAAAGGAGCTCCTGGCCCTAGGTCTGGAATTTAACTCATTTGAAGGTACAAAGGAAAGGGTAAGAACAGTCAGACCCCCAATAACTTCTAACTGAGAAACAAGCATGTAAACTAGAACTCTTCTGCATCGAAGTCAGTGCACGTGACACAACCCTAGAGTACTGTGACTGCCTCCAAGAAAGTACGCAGGGGGCAATTGCTTACTTCTTTCAGTACAGAAGCAAGATGGCACCAGATGATACCACCTGGTGACAAAAGTAACTAAAGAAACAAAGCACACAATAAAACTGAGAAATACAGCTCCATGCAGAGTTTTTTAGGAAGCTGTGAGTTTACAGTTATTCAAAAAACAGCTATATGAATTTATACAGAGGGGCCAAAACAATTCCAGACAAGGCCACTGACCACAGAAACAATGACCCTGCCCGATGTCTGAAGCTGCGAGACAGAGGAAGCTGAACTACACACTACTCTCTACTTACATACTTCATCCAGCATGGCCTAGCAGTCTGCTGGGGCTAAGCACACTTTATTTGACCTGTTGGGCCACCGTATTTAAGTATACAACAAGGCATCCACCTAACAGATAAGCAACTCTGGTTACAACTGTGGTACAGTAGGGGTTTTTATGTTTCACCCACTCAATACTGCCTTCAGTGCTCCGCTTCCCCAGCGCAGCACACCATTAAACTACCCGGAATGTGGGGCGCGTTCCTCGCCATCACCCGCAGGGATGCGAACGCCCCGGGGAACAGGCGCCGCGGCAGCCCCTCCCCCGGGCCCCGGATGCGCCTCACCGTAGCCCTGCGGGTCCCCCTTCCCAGCGGACTCCCGGCAGCCCCTGCGCCCTCTTGGCGGGGTGCAAGGGCGGCCAGGCCTTCCCCGTTCCTCCACTGCGGCCCGAGCACGGAGGCGAATGGGCCGCCCCTTCCTCCTATGGCCCTGCCGCCCCCCTCACACCTCCTCCCGCACCCACCACCACCGCCGCCGCCGCCGCCGCCCGACCCGAGCCGAGCCGCCTCACGCGGGCGCCGCTGTTTCCCTTGGGGTTCCAACCGCTGCCACGTGGCGCGCGGCTCCGCCGCCCCGATTGGCTGCCGTCCCCCCCGGCTTTCAGAGATTCAAAATGGCCGCGCCGCGGGGTACTGGCAGCGCAGATCCTTCGCCGCCACGGCCGCCCGCCCAGCACCGCTCTGGGGTGGCGCACGCTCATTGGCCACGGCGGGAGGTCGGGCCCTGGCGGCGGGAGCTGCTGATCCCCAGCCCGAGCAACCTAGTCCGTAACCCGCGGCTGGCTGGCGCCCTAGCAGCTGTACCGAGTCAGGGTACAGCCAGAAGCCAGCAGGATGTCCTGCCGCATTCTTTACACACACCGTGTAACTTTGCGGTCAGCAAAGCGTGCCCGTTCGGAGCTGCACAGATCCAAAACACTTGATTTACAGCAGCAGCCGCACTCAGAGCCGTGAGAGCAGGCAAATCCTTTTTCATTAGTTGGCTAGGCTAGTTCCACAGAGCTCAGGTCAGAGAGTTCTCGTAAACATTCAGTGCAGAGCATTGCAAGCAGCACCATTTAACGCAAAATGACTCAAATGTGGTCCATGTGCTGATCCTAGAATTTGCAGTTAATTCGTGGACAGGGACACCGACTAATTAAGATTACTACTGTAAATTGATGGCTGAAAGTGATTTGGTTATTTAAAGTTATGCTTCTCGTCTGCTTTTAGGCAGCAGGATTTAAACGGTAAAGGCAAGAGAAATCGGGCAGGGGAAGGCCTCAGAACACTGCGAGTTCTGAACACTGCATGTGCACACAGATGTAATGTGCCTTTAGCTGACATCAGAAACAACCGGAGTAGGCCGAGTGCTATAGTCAAGTGCACCAGAACAAGCATTATTTAAGTAAGTCTGAAGCCACTGTCCATACAGGTTGTTTCACCATGACATTTTGTGAAGTGAACATAAAAAGGCAGGGCCACCATCAGTCAAATGGCAACAGCAGTTTTCCTTTTCATGGTTGTATGACAAAATATTCCTGGTGTTTGGTGTACCTCTGGGTGTCACAGGCTAACTCGAGCAAAATGAGACTTAAATATTCTTAGAATCTTTAAAGATGTGCTGCTTGTGCTACAAAGTTACATCACTTTTTAACAGGTAGGGAGTTAAGGGATAAGGACTACTTCACTGCTAGTTCACATGCATTTGGAATTTTCTCCTTGAGCAACATGTCCATAATCACTTTTATACTTTTTGAAAATTCCTTTACTCATTTCTCTGCACAGTCTTTTCACTCAGTCAGGATTTTGCTCTTATATAGCATGACATGTACAACCCATCTTTTATCTACAGCTCAAAGGTGTAAGATGACAACCACTTCTAAAATCACTCAGGGGTGGAACTTTCAGGCATGTCCCTCTTTGGATAATTAATCTAATGTGCTGGATATAATATTTCAGAACTAGTAACCTGGAATTCTGTGGATTTCAGGTTATAAGTAATAGAACACATCTGTGAAAATTCCAGAAGGGACAGACCTGGTGATTGTAGCATTATATATGGGAGATTCTCCCACCTTGCATCTTGTTGACAGTTTCAGTGTCAATTAAGCTGTCCACTGTAGAGACTGTGACTTCAAGATGGATTCTGAATCACAGCAGCACGGTCACCCATGTAAATGAGGCAAGAAGCTTATCTGTATGCAATTGATTAGTCATGTATTGTGCGCCAAGAGTAAGCCTGAAAAGTGGTTAGACTGTTAATACAGCTCTTGTTATTCTGTGGCATGTCAAAACTATTATCCACGCCCTATATGGGGTACAGCTTTGAAACAATCACACTAGATCTTTAAACCTGCAGGCTGCATAGATCATAACTAAGTTATAATTAAAAGGGAATTTGTCTTGTCAGTAAACAGACATCTCCAAAGCTGAAATTCATAATATGTCAGAGAACCTGCTCTAAGTTGCTCCCTTGGTTTTATTTAAAAAATAATGCTGAGCACCCTGTTCCTCAGCACTTGGCTCACTGGTTTTGCTTTGCATTTTATTTACTCATCTGAAGTTTGTTGTTTTGTTTTGTTGGGGTTTTTTTAAATCAAATTTTGGTACACATGACATATATCTGCCAAAAGAGCTGGGTGCTGCAGAACTGTCAAAAGTAGTCTATGTCTATGAATCTTTGTGTAAACTCTAAATGCAGGCTTTGTGCAGTAGATATCTGTATTATGTGTAATGACGAATATACAGTTCATGTCCCATTCTGTATCCCAGTCTATATTCATTTTTAGGGTTTTCAAGCCTCTCATAAAACCCTTTTATGGCCAATGTGTTCTTCGAAAATAACATCAAGGTCTGCATCACTGATCAGTTGCTAAAAAAATTTAGTAAGATAATGTCATTCAAGAATTATTCTACATTTCCGAGGAAAAACAAGAACAACAAAACAAGCAAAAAAAAAATCCAGAAAACCAAACAAAACCCCAAACCAACATATCGGCAGGCAATGACCACTTCAACCTGAACCCCAGTTATTATGAGAATGTGGTATGTAGTACACTCTCTCTTGCTTTGCACATGATAAAAAAGCGATATTGCTGTCATTCTGAAGTATTCCGTAGTCTCCTGTGGTCACAGAGTTCAGGCAGTTACACTGGTCTCATATATTCAATGTAGAAAGAAGACAGAAAATACATGTATTAGAGCATCAAAGTTCACCACAGTTGTCAGTTCACAGTACTTAGTCAGGACACTAGAAAACAGGCTGGCTACACTATTACTGATTGACAAGGTACTAACAATGCATTTTTAATAACTTTTTGTCATTCCTTTCATTTATTCATTGATGTGTATAGAAGCCCAACTGACTGAAAAATGATGAGGCCTTTTTTCTGCTTCTTAGTAACACTTCCTATAGTCAAAAGAATATTTGAATATTTTTAAGCATGTAATATATATGACATACTTGTGAAAAAAATGTATTTTACAGTACTGAGGCCTTGGAGTAAGTAATTTTGTTGTATTTCTTTTTTTCATGTTCAGTCATTGCTTGCATAGCACTTCTGATAATATTCTGACAACATTATGCAAGCTATTAAGTTAGTAATTAAAAAATGAGACTTGGAAGTTTTACTGTGGTTTTTTTATATTTTCTCTTTGGCTAGATTTCTCTTTTTTATGTAGAATGTCCTGTATTTTCTGACTATAACCATTACTTTTTCAACAGTCATAATTCCCACTACAGTTTCAGATCCTCAAAAATATGAAATGTTTTGGGAGATACCATATGTCTCTGCTCTAGAGAGCAGTCCTGAGCCAGACCCAGTTCTGTCACTTTGGCAAATGATGTCATCATTTACTGAATTTGTTGAACTAATTCTTGCTCTCACTATTTTCTTCCTGTATTTCTAGGCCATATGCTCTTCGGATTTTGTTTGTTTGTTTAATGTATAGGGATTCTCATTTTTTATCTAATTTGGCACTACATACATTTGTCAGTCTTGTGCCTCAGCCACTGTTAGGTTTGTTAGAGGCATCGGGGACAAAAAAGTGAAAGGGCTGTGCACTCCACCCTGTCAGTGGGTGGGCAGCAGATATTTTCTTTTAGCTTTATGCGGATGTCTGGAAGGTATCCTGCTTTATTGGTACTCTTCCAATTATCTGTCGCTGCAAAATGTGTTAAAGGAATAACTTAACATTTTGGGTTGGTTTTTTTTTGTTTGTTTTTTAAGGTAACCCTGCTGTATCTAGCCTTTTAAAGCTATTAGCCAAGACTAAATAGCTAGCGATTTTCCTCTGTTCTGCAGAATTCCAGCTGGTATTAAATGCTAAGTGGTAAAAGGACAAAATCAAAACCGTGAAAAAAAATATTTGAAAAAGTTTTCAGAACTGCTGCTAGGGCAGTTCTGCATAGCTTTTGTCCAGAAGCCTGAGGGGAGGCCTGGGAGGATGTTTCGTTGCTATGTGGCAATATTCCTCAAGCAAAGATGTACTGCTAGGGCCTGTAAATCTTTTGCTTCGAGCAAGGAGGAAATAATTATTTCATTGTGTCATCATTAGACAGCTTTATCATATTTTTCTTGGAAGCTCATGGTTGCACAACCACAAGTGTACAGTGTAATTTATCATTTGCATTATACTGTACCAGGACATGGCACTTCAACACACTCAGACCAAATCACAAAATCTCAGTGTCTAACTCAGGACAGTCCAAAGGCATGACAAGTTAAAAAATTTAAAAAAAAAGTGAATTTCCATAATAAGGCACAATGAGAGATTCAAAGAGGTATGAAACTTGGTACAAAGAAAGAAGGTCTTCTGATGATAAGCATCTGCACAAAAATTCTTGAAACATGGAGTGGGCACTAGAGACTGAAGCAGAGGTGAGGAGATACGCTTTGTACAGCCTGAATGGAAAGGAGAGGGAGAAAGCTGGCCAAGACAGATACATGAAATACTTACGGACTTACAGACTAAGGAGGTGAAGAAAAATGCTGAGAGTGCAAGGGTAAATATTATCTGGTTTAAAAATCTTGAGTATAGGCCAAATAGATCCACTTCTTTTCTTTCGGCAATAGCCAGCCATGCTGCCTGTTCCATGCGTTAGCACTCATTTCAGTGGACTTGGGAGCTCCAAGTCCATGTAATGAAGCCTCAATGAAAAGCAGAAGTTGTTCAGTGGAAATAGGACTTTTTTTCCTTTTCTCTAACACTGCTTGCTTTTTGTTCTTAAAAGCTAGCCTGCAGTATAATTTTATTCTTACTTTGTCTCACTGTTAGATATGTACAGAAAACCTTTTATTTCTTTTTGTCCTTCCTTCTGCCTTTTAATTTTTTTACCTATTTTTCAAAATTGCTGTTAAACAAAATCTACCATCTAAGTACTAAAGTCTTCAAAAATAAATCATTATTTCCCCAAAAGTTGTACTGAAGACTAAGATCAATTCTGAAACTAAAATATTGTTATAACTTTTAGAAGAAGCCACAATGAAAAAAAACCCCAA